TCCTCTTTCATTAGTTATTTTATAAAAGAAATGTAAAATGGTTTCCATGTTTACGTAGCCTGATATAAACACTTGGGAGGTTGGGAGAACACTCATAAGCTAGAAACCACTCCGCTTCACGTTGTGGTTTCCTACACTTATCTCATGTTCTCCCAACTTCCCGCGTGTTTACATCAGGCTATGTAAACAAGGAAACCATTTTACATTTCTTCAGTATTTCTTCCTCTATTCATTCAATTCAGATGTTGAAATATTTTCTTTGGTTTAACCCTTTAACTCCCAGATCAAATTAGTAATTCTCCTTACTGTCAACCATACAATTCTTGTAATGTTAGCTCTGAGAATTTAGTATTGGATCAACTAATTACCCAAAAATTAATATTTTTCTTTATTCTCATCACTTATCTGGTTGACATTATATTGATATTGTAAGGAGAAATTCTGTCTTGGTCACTCATAGGAGTTAAAGGAGAACAGCATGGAAAATACCTTTACTGATGTTATGGTGTAAAGGGTTAAACGTAAGTGGCTTGCTTTACAAGAAGACAAAAAAAAATCATAAATTCACACATGTTACTTACTGATAACTTCTTGACTACATCGAAGTATTGGTACAGCGGCTGGAAGAAAGAAGAAGTGAAAACAGACCAAGTAAGGTATATTGACACTACAAACTTTAAGGTTCTTTCAACCTTTTAATATCACTTTGTCTATTGCTTCTACACAATTTTTGTAGAATGTAATTGAACACTTGTATTGAGCTCAACAGTCCCATTAAAACCAGCAAATCACAGCTCAATTTTAGAAGGACAAAACTGAAACTAGTTGTTAATTTTATATGTAAAGAAATGCAGTATCTTTACACTGCATGGTATTATATTGTATTACAAATGGAATAAAAAATGCTGACATATCAAAATGGAGCAGAGAGAAGAACCTCAAGGCAGAGCAAAACAATATCTTAAAGTTGTTGTATATATTTCAAGCTTAGTAAATGTTACAACAAACTCACTGTTTTATCAGGTTTTGGACCCTCTTCTTCCTGTGCCATCTTGTGAACTTCCAGCAGGAGTTCATCTCTGGTGGCTTCCAAGTCTGACAAACTACATTTGACCACAGTGCTCAGAATTAATATCTATTCAACAGTATTTTTTTACATCCATTTACCTTCTTTTTCTTTTTCTTTTTTTTTTTTACATTGGGCATAAGGTTATAATCAAATGTAGCGGAAAATGAATTTTAGGTGTAAATAATCTAAAACAACATGGCTTTATTTTCATCTTTGTTCCTGGTACATTTAACACAATCCTGAAGCAAAAGAAATACAAATCAAGTCTAGCTTGAAACCATGTTTAACTACAACTTATGACAACTACCATTTGTACAACTGTGAAGGTCTAGCAAATACCCTCTTCCACGCATATGCCTGCAATTTTTCCAACTTAAATAACACTTTCTTGGACGAAAAAATAAATCTAACTGGTCAAAACTCAGAATAGCTGGTTAGCTGATTTTAAAATACATTAATTTGGTGTTCATATACATCATTCCATATGCAGTTTAGTATCCATCTGCTTAAAATTTCAGTGGCCATTTTACAGTAAGGTTTGCTAAATGATTGCCGTGATCAATACAACATAATGCTCATTACCATTTGTGAGCAAGGAGAAGTTTTCCTTCATTGATCAAGGCTTCTGTTTTTTTTACACTGTCTGGAACAGTGAAGATAAGATTAAGATGTTCACAGGCTTTAGATATCTGTTGAAGAAATAATATTAGAGAAATTAATTTATACTAAAAATCAATACACTACAGCTAACATGAATTTTCACCCCTAGAGGTAATTGGAGTGGGAGGTGCAGCAGCCGAATGCGAGTGCACTGGACTCTGTGGATTGAGAGGCCCATATTTAAGACCTGGC